GATGAAGGGTTAGGGAAGCATAGCCTGAAGAATAAGTAGAGAAGGGAGAGTGCATTTCAAGAATCCAGAAGAGCACACGCCAAGGCAGAGAGGCAAGCATGGTGACATGTGTTTGTGGAACTACAGGAGTTTAGTGTTGCTGAGATGTGAAGTGAGAGTGCAGGCCTGGCAAAAGGCAGGAGCAGGCATGGGGAACTGGATCACAGAAGGCCTGGTCTTCATGTTAAATCTCTTGGACTTCCAAGTGGTAGTGTATGAGGAGTAATTACAGTGTTTTAAATAGAGAATTGTGTTTTAGAGAGGACATTAGTGGTGACATGGAGGGTGGAGTTGAGGAGAGCAAAACAGGCCAGGAGACTGGATGCAGAAAAGGTAGGGAAGAAGTAGGCTAGATTAGGAGGGCCTTGACTGCCCAACTAAGGAATTCATTTGTTCAACACAGTGTTAGGCACTTTAGGGTATTTACTCATGTTCATTTTCACAGCAACCATGTGGGTTTGTAGGTGATATTATCACTGTTTTTGAAATAAGGAAGCCAAGGCTTAGAGACATTAAGTGGTTTTGCCTAAGTCACAGAACCAGGAAGTTGTAGAGCTGGGATTTGAAAACAGAATTTCTGATTCTAAGGCAAATGTTTGTTCTATTTAACTACAGTGGTTTTCTGTGGATAGTTTATGAAAAGTAGATGGCTCATAGATATACATTTGACAGATAGTCATGCTTAATTTTTTTTAACTTTTTATTTAAATAGTTCGAGTCTTAACAGAAGAGTTGCAGATGTAGTTCAGAGAGTTCTGTATATCTTTTATCCACTGTTAACTCTTTCCCGTAATGTTAACTCCTTACATAACCATTGTACAGTAATAAAAACTAGGACGTTAACATTGATCCTATTACTGAATACTATTAACTAAGCTATAGACTTTACTTGAATTTTACCAGGTTTTCTACATCAGGATCTAATCCAGGGTCACACATTGCATTTAATTGTTAAGATATGACAAGTGAAAAGGTTATATCTTAGACCCTTCCTTTGACAGTTCCTCAGTGTTTCCTTGTCTTTCATACCTTGGCTTTTTTTTTTTTTTTTTAAGAATTTTTTTTTTTTATTGTACTTTAGATGAAGGTTTACAGAACAAATAATTTCTCATTAAACAGTACACATATTGTTTTATGACAGTGGTTCACAACCCTATGACATGTCAACACTGTCCCTTCTCAACCTTGGGTTCCATATTACCAGCTTTCCTGTACCTTACTGCCTTCTAGTGCTTGTCCCTGGACTGTTGTGCACCATTAGTCTCATTTTGTTTTATGAGGCTGTCTAATCTTTGGCTGAACGGTGAACCTTGGGAATGAGTTCATTACTGAGCTAAAAGGGTGCCTGGGGGCCATACTTTCAGGGTTTCTCCAGTCTCTGTCAGACCAGTAAGTCTGGTCTTTTTTTGTGAGTTAGAATTTTTTTCTACATTTTTCTCCAGCTCTGTTCAGGACCCTCTGTTGTGATCTCGGTTGGAGCAGTTAGTGGTGGTAGCTGGGCACCATCTAGTTATACTGGACTCAGTCTGGTGGAGGCCATGGTAGTTGTGGTCCATTAATCCTTTGGACTAATCTTTCCCTTGTATCTTGTTGAATCTTCATTCTCCCTTGCTCCCAAAGGGGTGAGACCAGTGGAGTATCTTAGATAGCTGCTCATAGGCTTTTAAGACCCCGGACGCTACTCACCAGGTACCTTGGCTTTTTTGAGAAATACTAATATTTTGTAGAGTGTCCCTCAGTTTGGATTTGTGTGATATTTTCTCATGATTAGATTAAGGTTATAGCCTTTTGGGAGGAATACCATGGAGGCGATCTGCCTTTCTCAGTGCATTATGTCTGAGGGTGCATGATTTTGACATGGCTTATTATGGGTGATGTTAGCCTTGATCACTTTGTTAATGTGATATCCGCCAGGTTTTTCCACTGTAAAGTTATTATTTTTCCCTTTGTAATTGATAAATGTTCTGGGGGAGATACTTTGAGGCTATACATATATCCTGTTTTTTCTTAAACTTTTGCCCACTAGTTTTAGAATTTATCAGTAGATTTTGCCTATAGCAATTATTACTGTGGTATTCTAATTTGATTGTCTATCTTCCTCACTTTTACATTTATTAATTGAAATTCTTCTGTAAAGAAGAGTTGTCTCTTCTCCCCCATTTATTTGTTCAATCATTTGTATCATTATGGGCTAATGGATATTTATTTTATTCTCCATTACTATCAGTATTTATTTTGTCACTCAAATTGTCCCATCTTTGGCTTTTGAGAGCTCTTTATGGTTGGTTCTTTTGTCTTTTCAAAATCCCGTCCTTTTTTTATGAACACTTCCTTACTTCCTGGTACTGCTCCAGGCTTATCTTCTATGTTTTTCACCCTAGTCCTGGTTCCTTTGATTGGAGAATGGTATTTAACAACCACGATGTGGGTACTAAATGAGCTCATTGCTACTGAGATGTCACTGCTCTTAGGCCCTTTAGCAGACAGAGATAGGAGATATATGTAAATATCTATATATTTCAATATCTATCTGTAGATGTATTTTTAAATAAAACTATGAGTTCATAATGATACCTTTGACTCCAATCCAGCACCACAGGGATCACTCCAGTATTCTCCCTTTGTTTATTTGCAACTTCTTTTTTTGGCTTTCATTATCTACAATATATTTACTTATTTGTTATACTTGTGATTTAATATCAGAATTGCTAACTCATTCCTCTGTGAGAAATATATTTACTAACTGGAGTACAGTGTCTGTGCTTTAATGTTTTTAAATTAACTTTTTAAAATCCATGAATAGAATGACGTGTATATTAATAGAAGAAAGTGTAGGAATAGGAAACAAGAAGAATAGACATTATGAAATCTATCACCTGTCATAGTACCCTTGCCCTTTTAGTAATTGTAGTCTCTTAGGGTCTCAGGATAAAATAGAGAAGACAAAAGCGAACATGGCTTTTATAATCATAAAAGAATACATTTATTTGATGATGTCTCACAATTCCAGGGGAGCAGGTTCTATGCATTTCAAGCCTGATTCCAAGAGGAAAATTTTTATAAAGAAGTTATAGATGATGAAGGAAATAAAAAACTCAAAGAAGAAACTAATCCACAGGACTAATAGCCAAAACTAACCATGGCTTCTTCTATCCTGAGACCAGAAGAGCTAGTTGGTGCTCAGCTACCACTACCAACCATTCTGACTAGGGACACAATAAAAGGTCCCAGATAGAATGGGAGAAAAATGTAGAACAAAACTCATAACCTCTTAAAAAAGGCCGGACTTACTAGACCGATAGAGGCTAGAGGAACCCCTGAGACTATTGCCCTAAGATACCCTTTGAAGTTGGAACTGAAACCACTTTCAGAGGTCATCTTTCAGCCAAGTAATAGATTGGCTTATAAAATAAACATTATCACCTGTGAGTAATGTGCTACCTTGAACAACCAACTGTTTGAGACCAAATGGTCAACATTTACCCAAAAGCAAAGATGAGAAGGCAAGGAGGGTCAGGGAGGCTAGATCAATGGAAACAGAGCAAACAGAATGGAAAAAATGAGAATGCTGACACATTGTGAAAATTGTAACCAATGTCATGGAACAATTTGTATAAAAATAGTTAAATGGGAACCTAATTTCCTGTGTAAACTTTCACCTAAAACACAGTAAAATATTTAGGGAAAAAAGTAGTTATAGATAATCTCCCACCTATACTATAGTGTCTTCTCTAAAGTTATCTCAGTTCTAACCTCCTCCCACACTCAAAACTCCATTCTCTAATGAAGACTGTAAGAGAGTCTTCTGTGTTGCGCTCTGGCGTCGTCTTGCTAACACCCCATGAAGAACAGTATTATCAATTAAGCCGTGAAGATTCTAGACATTTCTAAAGATTCACATCACCTGGGGATCACTGTTGCTCAGATCTAAACACTATATTTTCATGTCATTGGGGTGTAAACATTGTAAATGAGCAGAAAAGGAGAATGTAGTGAAGGCAATTTAAGGCGTTGGCTGGGGAAAGCAAGGAACAGGAAACTGTGCATTGAAGGGTCCAATGCAAGGACCAGTCATCCTTGGGGAAGTATTTTCAACCCTAGAAAACAGGCAGAGAGAAAGGTCAAGGGACAGATTCTAAAAATTTTTCCCCTTTAGCATAGTTCGTTCCAACCTGATTTGAATATTTGTCTTCTCTGTAGCTCTACAATATTAACAAAAGTGGCTTCTTACAAAACCAGCTTGTCCTTCCTATAATTAAATTGCATTTATTTTCCTTTTCACCTGTCGTATCTTATTTGCCCTTAATGCATAGCTGAGTGAACAATTTCCATAGTTGGCTTTTGCCATAAAACCCTATTCTCACAGCTTTAAAGTGAATAGTACTTCCTAATTTTTTGTGGACAGGTACCTCATTAAATAAGTACTTACCATATGTCAGGCGTTGCCTCATTTAATTCTTACCACAAGCCTGGGAGCTATTTTTATTATGCCCATTTTTATAGAAGAGGAATTAAGGTTAAATAACATACCCATGGCCACATAAAAAATAAATTCCACTATCAGGATTTGAGCCAGGTTTATCTGACCCTAGAGCCAAACTCTTGACCACTCTGTTATACTACCTCTTGCTTCTCATAGGTGAAGAGAACATTAAAAAGCTTACTTAGTTATAAAGGTTTCAAATTCCTAGTCTAGTAACTGGGTGAAAAAAGTCTAGGCTATGACTTCTCAAACCATATTAGCAAAAATTGTTAATACAAGTTAATACATCATGTGAAAAAGAAAGCTCTCCTTATTGTTTGCCATTTCTACCAGTTTTGTGTGGTATTGGAAGGTGCCAGGAAAAGAATGCATTTAATATCTGAGGAGCAAATCAGGAATAGGATATAAGCAAATGAGCGGGCCAGTTTTGCTTTCATTGCCATGATTTATCCAGATGCTGTGTCTTGTACATTTTTAGGATTTGGAATACTGTCTAGATCCAAAGACCAAGGAGCTGCCTCACTTGCGAAATCCTGACATACTTGTGGGTGAAAATGACCTCACGGCTCTCAGCTATCTTCATGAGCCTGCTGTGCTCCACAATCTCAGAGTCCGCTTCATTGATTCCAAACTTATTTATACATATTGTGGTAAGTGTGCCTCACTGTCTGAGAGGACTTGTGAACTCTTTCCTTTAATGGACATAGCCATGGAAATACTGTACATGAGGAAAGTAGGCTATAGCTGGATTTTCTCTTAGAGATGTCAAAGTTATCAAAAAAATTTACCAATATCCATCAGCCGAGTAGCATTTTATGCTGAATAAGTTCTTCCATTTATTTATTTTGCTCAGAGTAAAAAGAACTGGGCCCATCTTTTGGATTTTTTTCCCCACAGAGGTCACATGCCAAATTCAGTGCCACGTTTACCCATTATTTTCTTTTCTTACAAAACTAGTACACGAAGAGTAGGTGTTCCAAAGAGTAGATGTTGAGTCTTACCTTTGAGGCTGCTTCAAGAAGTTTAGTGTTATCTTTTTCTCAATTATTTAAAAAGGCAGGATTGACTTGACCTGTGGTGACTATTTTTGCTTGATCCTGCTTGCCTGGGCCTCTGCTCATTGCAACGTTAGTGGCCAGCGACCCAGCTCCTGATTCTTTTTCTCTCTCTTAGAAATTAAGCGTGTGCATCTTCATACACGTGTGTTCTTTGCACTCTTTCCCTGTTCCCTTCTTTTCTGTATTTTTTTCTTATGCTTTTTTTTCTCCCTCTCCCCTCCCTCTTTTTTTTCTCCACTGACATCTTTCTTTCATCAATCACTCTCTCCTCCAAGGCTCAGGTCTAAGATTTCCATTCATTTTCATCGTTTCTTTACGTTTCCATTCTGTTCCAAAGATTTCCATAGTTCATTTGTGTGGTGTAACCAGCTCTGTGCCATCCTTCCTCATTACTCTCCTGTTTTGGACAGAGACAGCCACCTTTTCTTTTGAAAAGAACTTATATCCTCTATATCCTTGATATTGACTCCTCTTTGCCCCGTTAACGCTGAATATTTCTTTCTCAATTTCCATTTTTCTTCAATTTATTTTTTTCTTGCACATATGCCACCTTCTCAGTGAAGCCTTCTCTGGCTGGCTCATTTAAAGTCACAGCCCTCCTACCTGTCCTTGCTATGTGTCTCCCTTCCCTGCTTCCTTTTTCTTGCTACTCTATATGATATATATATACATATATATATATATATATGTATACATATATGTATTTTTTTTATTACTATCTTGTTAATTATCTGAATTCCCCACTAGGTTAAAAGCCCCATGAGGACAAAGATTGATCTTTTTCGTTTACTGTTGTAAACGCAGCACTTCAAAAAGACTTGATATATAGTTGGAATTCATTCAGTATTTGTTGAATGAATTGATTTATTAAATTAATACACACATACTGGAAAATTTTTAGAAAATAAAGAAAAGTGTAAAAAAGGAAAAGCAATTACATATAGTTCACCACTGAAAAATAAACCTTTATTTCTCTGTGTATGTGTGAGACAGTATATGTAGATATAAAATTAGAATCAGTGTGTATATAGTTTTATATCCTATTTTCCTATGACTTTGGCTATTCTCTTCAGAAAATATGATTTTTTGGTGGTAGCACAATAGTCTGTCATGTGAATGTAGCAGAATTTATTTGTTCACTCTCCCTTTATTATACGTTCAGCATGTTTCTACTTTTCACTGCTAAGAATAATATGATAAACATATTTGTAAAAAAAACCTTTGCATAATCTCTGATTATTTCATTTGGATAAATTTCTAGAAGTGGGTGTTCTGGTTTAAATATTATGAAAATTCTTATAACATTGCCACAATTTTCATTATTTTAAACAATTAGTCCAATTTTTAAATGATGTTTTATTCAGGACTAGGTATTAATATAACGGGTTCAGAGGCAAGGGCTATGATATATTTTGGTCCTTAAACCTACAATTTTGTTAGTTCAGTATTAATTGAAATTGAAATGAGGTTTTATATTAGCTGTAATTCTCGCTTTACCAAGTTTGATATTCTCATTTGGTTACCATTGACTTCTAATACTGACAAGTAGATCATATAGGAGACAGTGATAATAGTGATGAAATTTTAAAACACTGACTTTCTTCAAAACACACCAGGAATAACCAATGCTGGTTTTACCTACCCTCCTCCTTCCAGGTATAGTCCTAGTAGCTATAAATCCTTACGAACAGCTGCCTATTTATGGAGAAGATATCATTAATGCATACAGTGGTCAGAACATGGGGGACATGGACCCCCATATCTTTGCAGTAGCTGAAGAAGCTTACAAGCAAATGGCCAGGTTTGTGAAAGTTTAATTGTTATTTCATGGTTCTTGTTAGTTGTGAACATTTTTGCTTTGCTAAGTCACAGACATTTTAAAGGACAGTGCACGGCAACTTGTAAATCATTACTAAATAAGCCTTGACCAGTTTTTCTCAGATGGCCTGGATTATTATTAAAATAACCTCACATTTGTAAAAGGATATATAGATTTTTTTCTTATTAATCACCTTTATAGAAGTATATTTTATCTATAAATAAAAGCAACCCATTTTAAGCGTACAGTTTGATTTTTTTTATACACGTGTATATCCAAGTCAGAGCCCCAGTGGTGCGGTGAGTTACTGCTGCAAACCAAAAGGTCGGCAGTTTGAATCCACCAGCCACTCCTTGGAAACCCTATGGGGCAGTTCTACTCTGTCCTGTAAGGTTGCTATGAGTTGGAATCGACTTGAAGGCAGTGGGTTTGGTTTGGTTTATATCCATGTCACCACCAACACAATCAAGGTATGGAATACTTAATCACACTGAAAAGTTCCTTCATGCCCCTTTAAAGTCAGTCCCACCACCCCATGCCCCTTAGCCCCAGGCAACAGTAAAGGGATATATAGTTTATTAAAACTGCCCTTGGAATCTCATCATGATCCTGTGAGTAGACAAGGAGGGATGCTATCCCCATTTTACAGATAGATGAGCAGATCAAACTTTGGTGATATGAATTGACTTGCCCAATGTCATTCACCTAATGAGTGGCAGAACTAGGACAAAAAAGTAGGTGCGTATGTATTTTGTTATACATATTACCCAAGTCCCTCCACAAGGGTTGCACCAGTTTGCATTCCACCAGCCATGTTCAAGAGCGCCTATTTCCTGCGGCCTCCTTTTTACTTCTCGGCCAGTCCAGTTGTTTGTCAGTGTTGTTTTAATTTGCTTTTCTCTAAGTATGAGGGAGTTTGAACATCTTTTCATATATTTAAGGGCTTTGTTAGTTTGCTTGTTTGTTTTTGGTTTATTATTGTCCATTTGTATTTTTTCCATTTTTCTATTGGGTTTTTGGTCCTTTGACTCTCAATTTTTAAGAGTTTTAGAAAACATATTAGGGATATTAGCCCTTTGTGTATATAGGAGCTCTGGTGGTGCGGTGGTTAAGCACTTGGCTGCTAACCAAAAGGTCGGCAGTTTGAACCCACCAGCCGCTCTGTGGGAGAAAGATGTGGCAATCTGCTTCTGTAAAGATTACAGCCTTGGAAACCCTATGGGGCAGTTCTACTCTGCCTCATAGGGTCCCTATGAGTCGGAACTGACTCAATGAAAATGGATTTGTGGGGTTTCTTTAAGGGTGTGTGTGTGTGTGTACGTATGTGTATATTTACATATGTGTGTGTGTATCTATATATATACATATACATGGACATAGACATATATATATATATATATATATATATATATATATATATGAGCTATTTTCCCCAAGTTTGTCAGTTGTCTTTTCACTTTATGGTGGTTTTTCCCGTGCAAATTTATCAATCTTTTATTGACTCTGGATTTTGAGCCAGTTAGGAAACCTTTCTCTATACCAAGGCAAAAGAGAAATTCATTTATGTTTTCTTCTAGTCCTTGTATTGTTTCATATGTTACATTTGGAGCCCTGATCCATTTGAAGTGTATTCTTTTGTATAATGTGAGGTATTGATCTGACTGTATCTTTTTTTCCAAATGGCTACCCAGTTATCGCAGCACCGTGTATTAAGAATCGCATGTCTGCCCTCGCTGTTTGAGATGCTGCTTTATCATCTACTGAATTTTAGTATGTTGTCGGGTCTATTTCCGGGCTTCTTCTCTTTTCTACTGGCTTTGTCAATTCATGTGTCAGTACCATACTCCACACTGTTTAATTACAGTGGCTTTATAGTATGTTTAATGCCAGATATGGCGAGACCCCTCATCGCTTATCTTTTTCAGTGTTTTCCTGCTATCCTTGGATTTTTTTTTGAAATTGACTTATCTAACACCATAAAAAATAAAGCTAACTTTCAAGTAATAACATCAAGGAAGAGAGAAAACAAGCCATTCAGATATCTGAGGAGAGAATATTCTAGACAGAGAGAATAGCAGTTGACAGCACCACACAAGACCTTCTGGACTATCATAGCAAATTTGACTTTTCCTTTGAGTGAGGGTTTTGAGCAGAAGAGTAGAATGATCTGGCAGCTATGTTAAGAATAGACTGTAGATTCTTGCCAAAAAATGCATAACCTGCACCTAATCATGAGGAAACATCAGTCAAACTGAAAATGAGGAAAATTCTACAAAATAACTGTTCTGTGCTTTTCAAAACTATCAAGATCAAAAAGCCAAAAAAAGACTGAGGAACTCTTCCTGATTAAAGTAGACTAAAGAGACATGACAACTAAATACAGTGACTGAGCCTAGATTGAATCCTAGAGGATGGGGCAGGAGTGCAGGGGGTTAGCTACGTAGAGGACATTGCTGGGATGATTGATGAGACTGGAATATAGCCTGTGGATTAGATGATAATGTTACATCAACACTGATTTTCCTGGTTTTTATCATTGTGGTTAGGTAAGGGAATGTTGTTGTTCTTAGAAAGTATACTTTTTAAAATATATGTGCAACTTACTGTCAAACTGTTGAGAAAATATTAGAATAAGAGAAACGGAGAGATTAATAAAACAAATGGGACAAATCTAATAATTGGGGAATCCAGGTAGAAGATATAAGAGAGTGCTTTTTACTATATTTGTAATTTGCTATAAGTTTGAAATCATATCAAAAGTAAAGTTATAAAAAAACTATGAAAATAGACTATAGTTGGACAAGGGTAGAAGCCAGAGACTACTTAGGAGGTTATTGCATTGATAAAAGCATAAGATAATGATACTTTGGTTGAGGAGGCTATTAGTGGAGATGGTAAGAAGGGGATGGATTCTGGCTATGTTATTAAGATAGAACTGACAAAGACTTGCTTATGTGGGATATAACAGAAAAAGAGGAGTCAGGGATGACAGCGAGGTATTTGGTCTGAGCACCTAGAAGATTGGAGTTGGCATTTATTGAAATGGTGAGGATTGCAGGAAGAGCTGAGTATCTGTGTGGGTGGGTGGGTTGGTGAGAGTGCCAGACTTCGACTTTGGATCTTTAAAGTTGAAATGATGTATTAGACATCTGTCCTCAAAGCTGACATGTATGATTCTTCCTGAGCAGATATATGTCCAGTGAAAGTAACAATAACCAGGGTCTTTGACTCATAGCTCCTTTTTAAATATATTCCTTGTAGAAAATACCCTCATAGAATACCTTTATAGACTAGTTCTTTAACTTTAGTAGTCCTCTTGACTTACAGAGGAGAAAAAAACCAGTGGATTTCCACATCTGTTTTTCCTCTCATATCTTGTTTCACATTATTGCCAGTCTTCCCTCATACTGGAACTGATTGCTGCTAAGTCACAATATTATTTTCCTTAAAACATCAGTTTTTTTTTTCTTCCTTAAAACCAGATAGTATTGATGGCTTTAATTTTTATATTTTCTCTCCATTGTAATAGTAGAGTAAATAAATTTTGTTGACCAAGTTTTATCACATAGACTACCTTGAAATAAATTACATAGTTACATGCAATTAACCTTGATTTAGTGAAAAAGATATCTGTACTAGTCCCAGCTCTCTGCCTCTCTAAAGCACAGCTTTCACCAGTGCCAGCATCATCTTTTATAGTAAATATTTGCACTTCAAAAAATAAAACTAAATATTGTAATTGTGAACTCATGGTTTATTATCAACTTTAGAGTTTAAGTCTTTACTTCTCAGAACTAATCAAAAGCAAAAATCTTAGAGAGACAGCAAAACAGCCTGATTTTGATGAATGGTAATAATGTAAAAAACTTAGCATCCCTCTAGTAAGAGGGATAGGGATTAGAGTCTTAAGTGAAGCCACGTCTTTAAGTCTCCACAGTAAAAACACAACTTTGGAAGAAAACATTATATTACACTAACTTCATATTTTCTTTTGTGCAAGGGATCAAATAAAGGGAGAAACAATTAGATTAATTGCCTGCAGAAAAGTGAAAGGTCTGGATTTTGTTTCATGTGAACATGTTCACCTATAAGCTAAAAATTTATACATAGGTGAATTGGACAGTTGACCAAGGTACCTGGCAATATCCAATGAGTGGTTGTCAGAGTCAACATCACCAAGGGTGGGTATACCAAACTGTGTTCCACATGAGTCAGGTCTCAAGCCAGCATTACTTAGTATCCTCGTTAATGACCTGGACGTAAATAGAAAGTATGCCCATTAAGTTTGCAAAGAACAGGTTGATCGTTTAGTAGATATGAATAGCATTCAATATTGCCACAGTAAGCTAAAGAGATTACCTTTTTAAATGGGTAAAGATCAAAAGGAAAATCTGATACAGAATAAAACTTATATATAACATAAGAAAAGCCTGTTCAGACCAAATAGAGATGTGATCACTGAGAACCCTAAAAGGAAAATAGACTGGTTCCCACATAACCTGCCCCTCTCCTATTATCATATAAGAGTCAATTCACACATCAGCTCCTGTAGAAAGTTTTTTCCAACATCCCCTATCCGCATCTCCCAGTAGTTTCACGCCCTTCTTCATGTTTTCATAGTGTCCTCAGTAGAACTCTTCTATAGCAGTTACTCCAGTGTATTTTAACTGTGTGCATTTCAACCTCCCTCAAATAGGCTACAACCCCAGAGTCTTTTATATCCATCAAAGTGCTTAACACATTTTGGCTGCTTATTAAATGTTTGTTGGATGAATGAAAAAGCAGTATTTTTATGTGGGGGCTTTTAGCTCACATCTAGAGCTTCTGGAACTGCATTGACTGAAACAGGTTAGAAGAGCTCACCTCTACTTCAAAGGCACCTACCTAGTACCCAGGCTAATTAGGATTATAGTAGAGGCCCATGAGAGAACTGGCCAAGCCAGAAATGTAAATCTTGGGTTCATCATTCAGGGAGTGCTCCG